GAATAAGCGCGATAAAGTTTGAAGCAGCGCGAATGCACTTTTTAAGTGACGTTTTCGTAGTCGTTGCCGTCGATCGTCATTGCTTAGGGCCTATTTACATGGAGGTGGGAGACCCCAGATAGATGAAGTAACATGCGGCGGGTCACCGCACCTAACATGTAAATGTGATCAAATTAAAATGAGAGATTTTATGGACAGACGGGTTACCACGCCAAAGCGGGTTACCTAACTTACCTGGGGTTCCCCACCTCTATGTAAACAGGCCCTTAAGCTCCCTATTAAAAGACTCTCAAATCTTTCTGAAACTCTTCCCCGCGATTACCGCAATTTACGACATTAACCCCGAACCCTTAGTCTTCCTTGGAACAAGGTTTTTATGTTCTCTTGAAAAAGATCATAGTTGAAATACCAGGTGAGCTTTTGCTCAAAACTATATATCTATACAATAGAAAATATAGTGGATTTTTAAGAAAATGTTATTTATTTTCTATAGGCATAAAAACGTTTGAGATATTGGCATATATTTAACACCGCATTTTTATAAAAACTGTAAATAAATTCGCACCCCTTAACGACAGACGGTTCTAACTTCAGCAAATAAGCCTCAGAGTTTAATTTTTTGTCTCAGGTTTTAGTTGTTTCAACTTCATTAGCACACATTACCATACCTAAAGGCAAAGAAAAAAACAAAAATTACCTGAGATAAAAATAACTACAGCAGATACTATTAGTAAGTTTGTAGTCAATCGTGACCGTAGAACTCGCTGCACAAAATGCTGGTCAAATTTAACCTTAAAATGCCACGCTAACACATTTGTGGAAGTTGACACACAAATAAAGGAAGAGTGCTGACGGATTATCGGCTCCCATCTGAACGACACGATTCCTCGGCGTTTTGTAACTTTGTTGTATGAACTTTGTTTGAATGGTTACTGTTCGGAAAAATTATGGCCGTCGAAAGATTCGTTATCAGTGGTAAGTGATAAAAAAGAGAACAGGGATACCAGAAACTTTAAGGAAGTGCCGTATTATATCTAAAGACTTTCAGGGAATTTTTCCGTAAGTTGCCATCATAAAAGAGAAGTAGCTAACTGGGTATTTCTCCCGTAGAGCAACGAAGATGTTATCTGATAAACAAAAGAACAGGGACATCAGAAAGCTTAAAGAAGTGCCGTATGATCTGAAGACTTTCGGGGAATTATTTCGTAAGTTGCAATCAGAAAAGAGAGGTAGCTAACTGAGTATTACGTGTACTCCCGTAGAGCAATGATAAAAAATTCCTGTTTGCTGCGAGAAAGAATTCATAAGCCCTTATTTGTCAGAGCTTTTCTTCAAAGTATCGTTAGCTTTATCTGTGGAAATAACTTAAATCTGTGCCCTTTACGACAAGGAATTCCCCTGCCGAATTACAAGCTGAGGTACTGCGAGGCCCATAAGTTTATCAGTACCTCCCATTAACTGAACTGCCGAGTGTTACCCCCTCTAAATAAAGTCTCCCCTTCACTCCTCAGGTGCACCCAACGACTGTTTTCTGTAAAATATCTGTTCGGAGAAGCAAATATTGCCTAGAATTTTCTATTACTTGAATACGGCTTAAAATGTCTAGATGAGCGTTAGCTTATCTGAAAAAATTCCTTACGATTTTCTGAAGTTTAATTTTTCATATTTGGCTCCTTATGTTAGGGTAATTTTCGTTAAAAAAGGAAACCTAAAACTTTCGGATTCAAAAAAATTAATGCCGTAGAGAGAGGAATAAGAAAAATTCTTACTTTCGTAAAACGTTCAATTCCATTTAAAATTTTTGGGAAAATAACACTGAAGTCACCGAAGCCCCTGTAATTTCGAAAGGCCTCAAGTTACCCTAGGATGACCGAACAGATACAAATTTTATAGCACTGCTTGGAATGCATTTCTAGAGATCTAAAAGTACTCTTAGTAGCCTAAAAAGACTTTTCAATGCATTCAGGAGGAAACCGTCTTTGGGTGCCCCTGCACAGACTGACGTATCTATATTAAACTCAGCCTTTCAATTTCTACCATGTGTATTTTTTCGGTCCGTATAATAAAATGAAGTAATGATAATCGGATAGCCAGCTGAAGATATGAAATTTATGTTCTCGTGATAAGAACAATTAAATATCTTTCACACTTTCTCTGCATGCGTCACTTGTGAGATACTGTTAATTGCTCCTAGATCACAAAATACATATCTTCTCTCCACCGTGTAAAATCTTCTGTACATTTTTCATTCACAGGGTGAGCAGTAATGAAAAAGTCACTATTGTGGAGCAAAAGGAATAGTTTGGGATACCAGCATGGCCTCGTGATCTGTGATGACGTCATGTGAAAACGACCAAATGTGGGGAAATGATAATGAGATTCAGTTTTATCACCTGGGTTGTTTGCTTAGCCATTTCGCCGCAGGCAATTTTGATTAAGAGGAAAATGTTTTCCAGGAGCCTGAATGAATATTTCATCAAAAAAAAAAAGAAAAAAAGAAAGGAACAAAATGAACTCAGGCGTATTAAATTCATATCTTAAATAAACTTTGTTTATCTAGAATATTGCCATCAAGTAACGGAAATCACAAGGAAATAAATCTTTTTCTTAGGGTGGAGAACAATAATGACCTGGGGCCCGTTTCTCGAAAGTCCCGGTAACTTTTCGGACCCGAAATCAAATTTTCCAATCGAAATATAAAGAATAAGAGCGCTGGTCCTGGCTAGCAGACTACATTTTGTTTCACGAACTGATAGTTTTATCATGCTAGATGCAAAAGTATTGATACCTCGATCTTTAATGTAAACGGAGACAGCTTACCGGGCCCGTTAATTATCGGGACTTTCGAGAAACGGGCCCCTGGTATTTCTAATGGAAAGGTACATTAAGTTGCATAATTCTTTTGCTCCTCGGCCATCTTGAATTAAATTTTCGGGAGCTCAGGCGTTATCTTTTGGCTAGCTATAGGCCTGGAGAAAAACTCCGGGGACAATTTTTGAGCCGTTAAAAACACTAACAACACGCGTTGTTTCAAGTGTTAATTTCCTTTTCGTGTGTTTCTAAAATTAAAGCTGCAAGATGTTCCCGCGATGGCGTGATGTATTCGAGTCTAATTTTGAAGAAAGTGTCGCAAAACAAACATTGAACAGGTATCTTCGGCCAGCACAATGAGAATGTTGATTGTGTATGTGTAAGCAAGTATTTATTAGAAATTCATCGTGAGGAGACTAGGTAAAAAGATTGTTGAACAAGGCTGAACAGTGACATGAGTTAAAATCGTTTCAAATTTTTGTATTTTTTCCCGACCCAATTTCAAGGAAAATATAACCCATACTTGTCTGATTGAGGAACAAGGACCTAAATACTTAAAAAATTCATTTCAAAGTAAACTAACTTCCCCATGAAATTAATTTTAATTGTTAATGAATTTAAACAGGAAAGTGGAACTGAGTCCTTAACAATAATAACTAAATAATATACACCAGCTACTAGCGCGCGAAGGGTATCATTAAAGACTGAAAAACATAGCGGTTTGCATGGACGCTTTGTGATCTGGGATTCTTCAGATGCTGAAAAAGTGCAAAACCAGCTTCTTCAGTGATAATGCAGTCTATTACAGTATGTATTTTCCTCGCGTTGAATTCGTTTGCAATCGGTGGAATCACTTCTGGTAAGATAATCTGACGAATAAGAGAGACTATAAAGTACGTAAAGTAATACAGTTACAAAGTTCGATAATAATTCATTTACACTGATTGCAGTGCTTAATCCAATTGCGCTGACCCTGATCGATCTGTAACATATAACGTAGTCATATTTTAATATCAAATAAAAAAAAGGACTTTGAAGGTAAATGAGTTTTGAAGGGTCCCAATTTTTTTTCCTTAAGGGTAGAACCGAGCTATGAGTCCCAGAGGAGTTTTCCTCTCGAGCGACGGGATGTTTCGGTGTTGCCCTATAAGGTGGTAATATCATCGGCCGCCGTGCCAGAGCCGCGAGAAAAGGCTTTGACGCGAGACCGGATCGCTTTTCGGTCTGGTCAGTTTAAACTCCGAAAACGCACATGAAACGTCTCCGTCATCCATACCAGGGTAGTTCGCGAGGTTTGACGTTGCTTTTTTTTAAAAATGGAGGTATATGTGAATATGTAGTCCTGAAAACCATCAAGCTAAGACGAGGGTATAAACTAAGGAAATCAAGCAAAAGAAAACGTTTAGTTAATTTTCGTCTAACCTGGAGTGTTTTTAAATTACTTATTAGAAAACTACCCTTACGTGTTGGGTTGAGGAATTTAAGTCAATTTAAGTCGACAAGTATAAAATAATAATCCTCTCTTGATAATAAATACTGTAAAAAAGGGTTAGTGACGTAAATCGACCAATTTTAAATTCAGTTCCCTTTACTGAAACAAATGTATAACAGCAAGAAATCCGGCGCTTCGCCTGCAGTTTTGCTACTTTTTGCATACCCATAGTTCAACTGTCGTAAGGGAGTTTTCCCGAGGTTTCAGTTTCTTTTAGCTAAACGTGCTTCATATTATTTAAATATAGCGGCTGGATTATGAATATTTTCCCCAGTTACCACCGTAATAAGATCCCTAAAGGCTAATTAAGTAAATATAAAGAACACGGATCGATATTGACTGAGACATCACATCAGGAGTTAGAGGTACTCGATGTTTAGTTTATTTTAATCATGTCTGGTAACAAAGTAACATAATTATGTACATTTGAAAGAGGGCCTTAGGATTAGCAAATGTTATATTGTTATCGCAGCCGGGGGTTTAACTAAGCGCAAGCCGAAAATGTGCTTAAAAAGACAAAACTGAACGAACATGTACTATTATTTATTTCGCACACTAGGTAAAATCTCAACTGACTGAGTAAAAGAAAATGGAAAACACTGAAAAATCTTCGAATTTTGTACATTTGCGGTGTTAAGTGACAAAAAAAAAGTGAAACGCGAGTGTAGCGACATACATATGGTTCTTTCTTTATTTTATGGCAGAATACAACCGCATCATCAGTTTTAAAGAACCGATATACGATAAAGTTCTTCCTGGTTACGTGATAAGAACTGAAAAGGTCAAAAACGAGGGAAGCTGCCGAGTGAAGTGTTATTTGGATCCAAACTGTGTATCCATCAACGTGGGACCTGAAGTCGAGGGAACAAGAACGTGCGAGTTAAAAAACTTCACTGATGAAAGCTCTGCGCAATCTGACTTGGAAGAAAGAAAAGATCACCTTCACTTTGCTATTGAGGTACAATACATCTTTAAGTAGGTAACCCTTAAAACCCTAAGATCAAAATTTGAATTCTCTTTTTTTGCCCCTGTTCATTTCCTACAGAAGTAGTGGGGAAACGTTTATAAATAATCAAGCAAATCCGTCTTGTGTTATCATGTCCGTAATTCTCATGACCACTCTGTTTTACAAAGCATTGATATTACAAGGAGAAATTTAATTCTGACCACTCTTAGGGGTTAAAACGTTAGCTAAAGCAGCTGTGTCACGAAATTTATCAAAATTCAAACAGTGGCAATTAGGGACCTTAAGCAAGGACGACGACGACGGCGGTGAAAGGCGTCGGTTAAAAAAGAAAAAATGAATTTGCGTTCTTTCAAACTTAATCGCGTCTATTTGGACCCGCTCAATAAGACAAATGCAGGTGACTTTTCCTGGAGTTGAACCCTAAAGGATTTTATTCAGGTTCAAAAAGAGGAACGAAAATTCGTCGTCGTACATCCACGTCCTCCATAAAACGTCAAATATTACGAGGTTTCACGTCGTAGTCGTGTAGTGGACGTCGAAGAAATGTACCAAAAAGAGTGATGCACGTATGTATGATTTTTGAAGCTTATGTAATGAATTCCCAAAGATTTTCTGAAGTCTAATTTTTGGCATTTTACCCCCCATTTTAACTTATTTTTCGCAAAAAAAGGAGACCTAAAATTTCGGATTCGAAAATGTGATGGAAAGAGGAATCAGAAAAATTCTCTCTTCTTCTCTCATCTACAATTTTTGGGAAGACAATATGAAGCCCTGGTAAGTTTCGAAAAGACTCAAGTTGTCCTAGGATGACCGAACAGATATAAATTTTATAGCACCGATTAGAATGTATTTCAAGAGGTCTAAAATTAAAGTACTCTGGATAGCCTAAAAAACGTGTTCAATGCATTGAGGAGAAAACCGTCCCTGGGTGCCCCTGGATTGCACTTGTAGTCAGTTATGCGGAAAACTAGTTGACCTAACAGTTACTCAGAGTTCATTTTTTGTTGTTTGCACCGATTGATTCAATGCTTGGGAGACTTATTACTTGACACAAAGCTGTGATTTTGTCATTCACCAGTAATTTCACATAGTACGTAACGAAAGACAGTCACGCACTGTAAACAAAATGAAGCACTAGACAGCCATGATAATGACACACCCCCTTGAAGGATGTGCCTAGCGGCTGTCTGATCATACCCCCATAAATGGGAAGAAAGCAACTCGATATATTGCAATATTTAGATAAACAAGAAGACGCCCGAAGGCGTTTACTCGGGATGTGTTGGTGTAACTAAGAACTACCCGTTATGTTGAATGGCAATGGAAAGTTGAGCTGCAGTAGGTCAACAACATATGTGTGTAGGAGAGACAGAGATGTTCTGTTAAGGACTAATACACTGGACGATGAGTTACACACAAGGGTTCCTTTGCTACTCAAAACGAAACTTATATCAATATTACCACCATACATGTTAACAATATGCGGTAGTTCACTAAAATTTGCATTCCCTTTACTAATGTCCTCAAAAAATACATTTCCACATTCAACAATAGCATGTAATGTGTCATACTTCCAATAACTACAGGGTTGCAAGGCTGTGCTTTAGGGAAAATTTCAGGAAGCCCTTCGGTCTTCCAAACATTTTAGCTGGGACACCCGGGCCTACAAGTTGGTCACCCGAATTTATAAATCAGTGAGCTGTTAGTCAATTATTAAAAATTAAACAAATTATATTTTAAACAAGTCAAGTACAATCTTGTGAATTTTTTTTTTCATGAAAAATCACATCTTTAGACGACCTGACTTGCACGTGATCGGAAGTTGCAGCCAATAAAAATCACACAACTTTTCGGGACGGGCACGGGATACGGGAAAGTTAAAAAAGGCGGCAATTTTTGACTCCCAAATAAATACGAAAGGAATGCGCAACCGAATTTATAACGCTGGCTGACTACGTCATCCCGCGTAATAAGTATTAAGAGCGACGGTCAGAAAAAATCGACCAAAATCTTAATTTCATGGCAAGAGTTGAAAAATCAATTTCTTTCATTTTTTGTTCATAGATAGCTTTTAGGTAGATAACAAACCTACTGTATATTGTTCCTGCCAAAAGCCTTTTATTTGTGAGAAAAATTAGAAGATTGGTGTTCGATGTCGGAGTCTCAGACTGCCCTAATTTTTAACCTGAAATTCGCTAACATCAACTTTCCTCGCGTTCGCAAACGAAGCCGCGTGGAGAAATTTGGACACTTTCCATGAACAGAAAAATTCTTTTTCTTCCACTAAAAGATACTTTCAGGGCAATAGCGAAGCTCGTCGTATTGAAATAATTCACAAATAATAATTCTTCTTCACACTATTTAAATCACACATTTAGACAATAATTTAAAACATACCTTGGAATTGGCTTGGGTTGTTGAAGGAAATCATTGTGAGATTCAGGAATTTTCATGATAGGCCGGCGGTAATTGTGTAAACACTTCAAATTTCGAAACGCACAAAAGTAGATATTTACAGCCTAAAGGCTCGTTTTTCGTACTTCGTGTAGGTTTTCCTATTTCAAAGTTGCTTTTTTCAATCAAAAAGTGGGGTAAAAAAGTGAAACTGAACGCCACTAGTCGGCGACTCTGCGTGACAATCTGTTCCGTGACTGCACGTGACATAACGTACGTTTGAAGAGACGGAGCCGTCAAAGTGACAGTCACGGAATCACGGTAGTACAACATTTTTGATGCCGACAGTATTTTGAAAAATCAAAATTCAAACGCGCCATTATTCTGGTACTCACTTTTTATCGAAAAATAAGGACTTTAACAATGGTAATCCGCTAAGGATGACGAAACAGGAGGATATTTCGTCTTGTCTCTTTACAATCGAGGAAACTTGGAGCCGTTAAATAAGCTATTTCGGTCACGCTTCACTATACTCTAGCGGACTTCGATGCTTTCGTTTGGAGGCTGCCTTCAGGAACTCAAGCCAATTCTCAGGTATGCTTTAGATTGATGTCTAAATGTTTGAATAAACGAGCACGGTGAGAACTGGAGCTATACCACATGAAGAATAATGCCACAAAAAACAACTACTAAATTAAAGTTTTTGTCACCGTAAAAACCTGTTCTTCGTTTTTGAATTATGTTAGTTCAACGAGTCTCGATATTGCTTTGAAAGTATCTTCTAGTGAAAGAAGAAGAGTTGTTCTATTGATGAAAAGTGTCCAAATTTCTCCTTGCGCCTTTATTTGCGAACGCGAGGAGAGTTGATATTAGCAAATTGCTGGTTGAAAATGCGCCCATTTTGAGACTCCTACCACGAAAACTGATATTCTTACTTTTCTCGAAAATAAAAGGCTTTTTGCGAGAACGACTTACATCAGATTACTTATCTACCTAAAAGCAATTTTTCAATTCTTGCCACTCGATGGTCGATATTTCCTGACCTGCTCTTAAATAGACTGACAATGCCATCAAATGAAATCTGTTAACCAGTTAGATGATGTAAGCGGGAGCTGTAGCTATTTAATAACTAAATAATGACACAAATATACCACATCGGCCTTCATGTTCGTTTGTTTTGAATTCATACCCAGAATTTTTGTCACCGTAGCCGTTGCCCTGGAGAGAACTTTTTGTGTCAAGTAGGGTTTACAACCAAAGGATACAGATGTGTCTGTCGAGAAGGTTTTAAAGGAGATCAATGTGATGAAGGTAATGAAACACCGAAGTTTCAGTGTACTAAATCCACCCCTCCTCTCACCCCCTTCTTTTTTTTCTCAAATTTTGATGAGGACGAGTAAGCGAATATTCATAGAGACTGCCAAAAAGTGCACCTTGAAATGAGCTAAGCGAGTTTGAAAGTCACACGTCTAAAGCGAGCTAAAAGTGGTGCCTTTTAACAGACGTTTGTACCAATCAGTATGGGACACAATCCCCCCCCCCCGCATCGTTACTTTTTAACACTAATATCAATCTGAAACTTTGTGCCGGTGTTCAACTGAACGGCGTTACTCTTGCGGTGCTTACTTGCACTTGCGGTGCTTTGGAATAGTCTGCCAGCTCGGTTACGGCAAGCAAAAACACTAGAAAGCTTCAAAGCCGGGCTGCGGTAGTCGGGTCATTTTACTACAATTAGTTATAGTTTTTAGATTAGTAATGCACGGCTCTCATGGAAAGCAGGGTTTTATATTTTATATTTGTAAATAAGTAAAGTAGTAATAGATAAAATTAGTTGTAATTTTAAATTTTAAATTTTAATTAATTATTATAGATATGCCTGATGAGACAACCGTGGATAAATAAAGTATTCTTCTTCTTCTTCTTCTTCTTCTTCTATAATTTTTCAGTTTTCAGAAACTGTGCTGAGCTTTATGAAGCTGGTTTTCAAGTAAGCGGTGTTTACAGTATCGACCCTGACAACACCGGTGCCTTCAAAGTGTACTGTGACCAAACAACAGACGGTGGGGGGTGGACAGTTTTCCAGAAGAGACTGGACGGCTCGGTTGATTTCTTCCGCGGCTGGGATGACTACAAACGAGGCTTTGGAGATCTGAATGGTGAGTTTTGGCTTGGCCTGGACAAGATACACCACTTAACAAAAAATCATAGCAGGCTTCGAGTGGATCTCGCAGACTTTGACGAGGAAACTGCCTACGCTATGTACGACTCGTTTGGTGTCGCCAACGAGCAACAAAAATATAGGCTGCAACTTGGACAATACACTGGTAAGGATAAGGATGCGACAAACGAGGGGTTAATTTAACTCCTTAAAGTGGGGCTAGTTTTTGGGGAGTTATTTTAACTCCAAAAAGGAGTTTAAAGAACTCTTTTTCAGGAGTTATCGTGTACCTAAAATTTTTACTCCACTTTCAGAGTTAAATTAACTCCAAAAAGAGTAAAACAACCCATGTAAGGGGTAAAAATAACCCCATTTTCGGATTTATTCTAACTCCAGACTGGGAGTAAAAAGAACTCTTTTTCAGGAAGTAAAAATGACCCCAAATTTGGAGTTAAATTAGGAGTTAAAGTAATCCCAAAAATGGGGTTATCCTGTACCTAAAATGTTTACTCCACTCCATATATTTTTGGAGTTATAATAACTCCCTAAAAATTACGGTGTGAAAAACTACCCAGTGGGCAAGCAACGTCAGTAGTAGTTTAAGAACCGAGTCGCCCTATGTAGGGTCCAAGACAGTCTTGTATTCCGGATTCCAGGTACTGGATTCCAGATTCCAATCTGTGGATTCCGGATTCCAGATATTGGAATCAAGATTCCAATCTATCGATTCCGGATTTCAGGTATTGGATTCCAGATTCCAATCTGTGGAATCCGGATTCCAGGTAGTGAATTACGGATTCCAATCTGTGGATCCCGGATTCCAGGTACTGGATCCCGCAGCATTTCTTGTCAGTAGAAACGCCGTGGAACTTAGATTCCGGACTCCTTCTCGGAGGAAATTGGATTCTGGATTACAATCTTTAGAGACAGTTCGGATTCCTTGAGATGAACTCCGGATCCAAAGCCATGAGTTCCGGATTCCACAAGCTAAATACCCTGCATTCCGGAATCCGGATTACTTACAAGGGTCAAAACGGGGCGAAATGGAGCAAAGTCACGTTTCTCTCTTTCTCACTTGGTATCTGGTATTTTCCTAGGATATGACAGTATTAACGGTTTATATCTCGGTTGTAGGGACTGCGGGCGACTCGCTCAACATACATCGCAATATGAAATTCTCCACAAAAGACCAAAAGAACAACAATCATAGAAATGACTGTGCCAATAAATTCGAGGGAGCTTGGTGGTACGGCAACAGTGATTGTCACCATTCCAACCTTAATGGCCGCTACCTGAAAGGCCCGCACCCCACTCTGGGTAATGGTGTTAACTGGCGCGACTGAAAAGATTTTCGTTACTCTCTCAAACGAGCTGAGATGAAAACCAAACCGCTGTGAAGATCTGAATAAAAAGTACTCTGCTATTTTTGAAATGTGCGGTTTGCATGATGACATCTTTGACAGTTCTTATACTCAGACCTGATTCATTTCGTTTTTCCTTTCATATTTAAATCTAGTAATTTCATTAAGGTTGAAATAACAAAAAGGCCCTAATTTGCACAAGAAAGCGAACCTCTGAAAGATTTTGGTAGGAGTAGTAAAATGACGCCATCATGCGAATCGCCTAAGTAAATTCATGTCAATTACGGGTTTCACGGGCTTTTTCGCTAAGGAACTTAAAGATAGATAAGTCAGGAATTGCCTTTACATAATCATGACAGAATAACAGCTTTCTGATAAACAATTATGTCTCCCAAACTTTACCAACAACCAGGCTTTCAAAAACCACAATAAAATATTCAATTGTAATCATTTTTAATGAGCTTCCTGAAATTCTGAAGGGAAGGGTTGGGGGGGGGGGGGGG